GACAATCTAGAAGAAATGGATAAATTCCTAGAAATATACAATCTTCCAAGAATGATCCAGAAAGAAACAGAAACAGAAAGTCTGAATACAGTGATTAGTAATAATGAAATTGGAGTATTAATCAAAAAGTTCTCAACAAATATCTAGGACCAGATGGCTTCACAGGTGAATTATACCAAACATTTAAACATGAGATACCACCAATTCTTCTTAAAGTCTTCTAGAAAATAGAAGAGGAGGGAATACTTCCAAACTCATTCTATAAGGCCAGCATCACTCTAATACCAAAAACCAAGAGACACTACAAGAAAAGAAAACTACAGACCAATATACCTTATGAACTTAGATGCAAAAATCTACAAGGTATTAGCAAACCAAATTCAAAAATACATCAAGAACATCTATCACAACTAAGTGGGGTTTATTCCAGGGATGCAAAGGTGGCACAATTCATAAGTCAGTCAATGTGTCAGTCAATATCATACCATATTAACAAAAGGACTTAAACTGTATGACTGTCTAAATAGATACTATAAAAGTATGTGACAAAATTGAACATCATGCTACAACTCTCAACAAAATTGGTATAGAGGGAACATATCTTAACCTAATAAAGGCCACAACAAACCCACAGCTAACATCATACTCAATGGTGAAAAGCTGGCAGCATATCCTCTAACATTAGGATCAACACAAGGATGCCCACTCTCATCACTTTTATTCAATATAGTGCTGGAGGTCCTAGCCACAGCAATCAGACCAGAAAATGAGATAAAAGGTATCCAAATTGGTAAGAAAGAAGTAAACTGTCAGTATTTGCAGATGATATGATAGTATATATAGAAAACCTTAAAGACTCTACCAAGAAAACTATTAGGCCTAATAACTGGATTCAGCAAAGTTGCAAGATACAAAATTAAAACACAGAACTCTGTTACATTCCTATATACTAACAATGACCTAGAAGAAAGAGAATTCAGGAAAACAATTCCATTTACAACTGTATCAAGAAGAATAAAACACCTAGGAATAAACTTAACCAAGGAGATAAAAGACCTGTACTCTGAAAAGAGAAATCAAAGAAGAAACAAATAAATGGAAATCTATCCCATGCTCATGGACAGAAGAATTAATATTGTCAAATTGGCCAACCTGCCCAAAACAATTTACAGATTCAATGCAATCCCTATCAAAATACCAATAACATTTTTTCAGTGAACTACAAATAATCCTAAAATTTATATGGAACCAAAAAAGGCCCTGAATAGCCAAAACAGTCAATCTTGAGAAAGAAGAACAATGCTGGGGTTATCATACTCCCTGACTTAAGATCTACTACAAAGCTACAGTAACCAAAACAACATGGGAAAAGAACAGATATATAGATCAATGAAACAGAATAGAAAGCCCAGAAATAAACCCACATACATACTGTCAATTAATCTTTGACAAAGGAAGGCAAGAATATACACAGGGGAAAAGAGTTTCTTCAACAATTGGTGTTGGGAAAACTGGACAACTACATGCAAGAGAAAAAAACTGGATTATTGTCTAATTTCACACACACAAGCAGACTCAAAATGGATTAAAGACCTAACTGTAAGACATGGAACCTTAAAACTCTTAGATGAAAGCATAGACAAAAACCCTTGAACATAAAGCATGAGCAATAGTTTTCAGGACACATCTCCCCATGCAAGGAAAACAAAAGCAAAAATAAACAAGTGGAACTACATCAAGTTAAACAGGTTATGTACAGCAAAGGAAACCATCAACAAAACAAAAAGGCAATCTACAGCTTGGGAGGATATATTTGTAAATGCTATATGTGATACAGGGTTAACATCCAAGATATATAAGGAACTCATATGACAGGACATCAGAAAACCAAATAACCTTATGAAAAACTGGGCAGAGGACCAGAACAGACATTTTTCCAAAGAAGAAATAGGGATGGCAAACAGGCACGTGAAAAGATGCTCCACTTTGATGATCATCAGGAAATTACAAATCAAACCCACAATGAGATGTCACCTCACACCAGTTCGAATGGCCACTATTCAAAAGACAAGAAATAACAAGTGTTGGTGAGGATGTGGAGAAAAGGGAACCCTCCTACACTGTTGGTGGGAATGGAGATTGGTACAGCCACCAGTGGAAAGCAGTATGAAGTTTCCTAAAAAAACTAAAAATAGAAATACCATTTGACCCAGTAAATTTACTTCTAGGAGTTTACCTGAAGAAAACAAAATTCCTGATTTAAACAGATATATTAACACCTATGTTTGTTGCCACATTATTTCAGTAGCCAAGACATGAAAGCAACCAAAGTGTCCATCAATAAATGAAAGGATAAAGAAGGTGTGGTGCATATACACACGGAATATTATTCAGACACAAACAAGAAAGAAATCCTGCCATTTGAGACAACATGGATGGTTTAAGAGGGTATTATACTAAGTAAAATAAACTAGGAGGAAACGGCAAATACCAGATGATTTCACTTATATGTAGAACCTATAAACAAAACAAAACAAAAAGAACAAAACAGTAATAGACTCATAACATTGAGAAGTGACTTGTGGTTACCGTGGGGATAGATGGGTGAAATAGATGAAGGTTATAAAGAGGCACAAAATCTTAATCATATGTTAGTCACTGGGATGAAAGTATCTCATAGAGAATATTGTCAGTGGTTCTGTAATATGTTTCTATGTTGATGGATAGAAACTGCAATAGTTGGGGTGGGCCTTTAATAATGTACATAACTGTTGAATCACTGTGTTGCATACTTGAAACCAATATAATATTGTGTATCAACTATATTTCAATAAAAACATCTTCTTGCTCCTTATGCCCCATACCTTGCCCTATGGATTTCTGCTATTTGGCTGTTCCTGAGTGGTATTATTTCTAATAAACTGAAAGTAGGAAGTACAGCACTTATGTATTGCTATGGGCAATATTCAGAAGGGCAAGCATCAAAATGACATTTTTCTGGATATTAAAGTTTCTATAACTTTTTTTAGTTTTTATATGTGTTTGAATTTTTCTACATTAAATATATTTATTATGCATGTAATTTTAGACAAGAAAGTTATCTCCTTACTCACTGAATTGAATAATCCATGTGTGAACAAATATATAAGAGCAGGTTTTCGAATTGTCATTGGAGTCTTGTTCTTTTACACTTGGACTGAGGTGATTGCCATTAATGCTTCTTTGTCTCTCTGTGGACATTATCCCCACTGGGGCTTGGCTGAGAACTTTTATGTCAAAGTGAATTTTATATTCAACAGAGAGTTTTGAATGAGGGCCTTCAGGGCTTTTTTAGTTAGCTGTTTTCTGCACACCTGCTGTGGATGGAAGAGATAAACAGGGTCATAAGTATAAAAACCTGTTTGTCCAAAGAAAATCAGGCCACCCACTTTTGTAGAGCCAGAGTCTTCTTAATTTTTCCTTGCTCTTTGATCTTTATTACCAGCCTTTCACTTACCCAGAATATACAGAAATGTAAGGATGATATTTCCTTTAAATTCATAATCCATGTGTATGTTTGTTAAGTACAGGTGTCTCGGGACAGGAGGCTAGGAATATTCTCAGATAATCATATTACTATACTTATGTTTAACTGTGAGGCTCATAAAGTCTTTTGATTCATGTCTTTCCCATGAAACAATGAAGAATGTCCAAAGTAAGTACTGGAATGTTTTCAAACCCACCATATTGCAAATGTGTACAGGTCTTATTTTATTCTTTGTTAAATTGGTGCAATTGCATGTACCATGGAATTTGATTAACAAACAGAAAAAATGTATTAATCTCTATTCTCCTCTCCTTTTCTCTGTCTCTCAATTATTTATCAATTATCTATCTACATATTTTATATCCCATGTAATTCAATTATTATCAGCAAATATTCCATTTTTTAATATTTCTTTTTTTCAGGGCCTGTATCACTTATATGCAAACTCTTTGTCTAATAAACCCAACTTAATGTCCTTTTTTTCATCGTGATATCTGTAACTTGGCAATGTACCATGGTAAACTTGTACTTGATGGAAGCTGGTACTACTCACTTAAACCTAACTGTAATCCCATGAGGTAGTATTCCTGTTAATCTACTTTTACCAATTAGGAAACTGAGGGCACAAATGATAGATTAAATTGAGAGCACTCAGCTAGTAGATGACAGAGATGTGACTTGATCCTACACTAACTGTTCCAAGGTCCATATACTTAGCTCCTGTGTGTTGCTGAAATATACATCACACTTCTTGTCATGAAAGAGGAAAGCAAAATACATTTTGATATTCTTCATTTATTTATACTTTGCCCATGTTTTTTAACTTATATTAAAATAATCAAGCATCAAAGCCCTCTCTGCTGAAGCACAGATGGAAAATAGGGAATAATAGAGGAATTGAGAGTCAAGAGAAAAAGCCATTAAAGAACTAATACCTGAGAGAAATCTGAATTGACCTGTAAATAATGCCTGGTTCACTGAGGAAGGATCTGGAGAGTGTAGATAGGGTATAATCACTATCTCCTGTGCATTTCCATTTTATCAGGTACCACAACTTGAAGCAAAGGAATTTTAAGTTTTAACTTTTGTGAATAAACATTTTGGAACAAAGAAGACAATTCCCCATGAAAATATAACTCAAAAACAAGCAGTTACTGATTCAGCAGGAGAAATGTCAATCAAAGTATGGACTTGAAGAAATTAGTTGGAGAAAGTGCTGTGAATTGGGAGATTCTGGAATACTTAAAACAATTTCAGTAGCAGTAATTTTCAAGAGAAACTTTTAATAATCTTAGCTTCTATGTGTTAAATTTCAATGCAGCTGAGGTAATTATCAAAATCTGTTTATCAGGTTTCCTTGACTTGTTTTCCTTGGTATTGGAACCACTGTCTGAACTTGTCATATTTTGACATTGTTTGTCTGATCCAATTTCTGTGACTTTTATGTGAATATTAGCAATAGATGAAGTCAGTGATGAGAAACCATTCAACAATAAGAACATTCATCATTCTGGGATTGACAAATGATCCACAACTAGAGATTTTGGTTTTTATATTTCTGTTTATCTCATATACATTAAGTTTAATTGGGAATCTGACCATAATTTCACTCATCTTGGTGGATTCTCATTTAAAAACAGCTATGTATTTTTTTCTTCAAAATTTCTCTTTCTTAGAAATCTCATTCACAACTTCTGGTGTCCCCACATACCTCTACATCATATCAAGTGGGAACAGGGCTATCAGCATCAAAGCTTGCTTCAGTCAAATTTTTTTTGTAGTCCTCTCTGGAGCAACGGAATTTTTTCTGTTGGCTGTGATGTCCTATGACCGCTATGTGGCCATCTGCAAACCCCTGCATTACGTGACCATCATGAACAGCAGAGTCTGCAGGACCCTCATCCTCAGTTGTTGGATATCTGGCTTATTCATCATCCTTCCACCCCTTGGTTTGAGCCTTAATCTGGAATTCTGTGACTTTGTTATTGACCATTTTTTCTGTGATGCTTCTCCAATACTGAAGAATTCATGCTCAGACACATGGTTCATTGAACAGCTAGTTATATTCTTTGCTGTGTTGACTTTCATAATGACTTTTGTGTGTATAGTTCTGTCTTATGTATACATCATTAGGACGATTCTAAGATTACCCTCAACCCAGCAAAGAAAAAAAGCCTTTTCTACATGTTCTTCCCACATGATTGTGGTTTGCATCACCTATGGTAGCTGTATCTTTATCTATATCAAACCTTCAGCTAAGAACGAAGTGGCAGTTAATAAGGTGGTTTCTCTGCTAATTATGTCTGTAGCCCCTTTGTTGAACCCCTTCATTTATACCCTAAGAAATAAGCAAGTAAAGCAGTCTTTCCATGATAGTCTCAAAAGACTTGCATTTATTTCAAAGAAATATTAGATATTCATATCAGAAATTTAAATTAAAGTAAAAAATAAATTATCAGCATATGGATGAGAATTGAGTGATGGGAGTTATCCAGTCTCATATTTTTGAGGGCCAAAATATATAGAATTGAGAATAATGTCTAAGAAAAAAGTGTGAAAGTTCAGAATTACACAGATGGACATTTCTGTACTTTTCTGAAACTTCTGTTCTTCCTCAACCACATTATAATCAACTCTTTTCAGTCTTGTTACATAATCATTACTCATTATCTTATGTGTCTATGTCACTGCTCTCTACTTACAACACAGGCTGTTTTTTAAAATTGAAGTACAGTTGACATGCAATATTATATTAGTTTCAGGATTTCTACATAGTGATACAAAAATTACATACATTACAAAACACATCACACTAAATGTATTTACCACTATCACCATACAAAGATATTATATTGTGGGCTATATTTTTGTATGCTGTACTTTTGCATACAATGCAAAATGAATAGAAAATGAATTATTTTGCAATCAGAATTTTGTGTCTTTTATCCACTTTACCTGTTTTTCCCATCCTAATTTTCCTCTCTCCTATGACAACCACCAGTTTGTTCTGTCTGTGTCTGTTTCTTTTCTTTATTTTTATACATATAAGTGAAACTCAGTGGTATTTGCTTTGACTTATTTCACTTGGGACAATACCTTCTAGATCCATTCATCTGTTGCAAATGCCAAGAGTTTATTTTTCATGCTCTATAATATTCCATTATATATTTATACTATATCTTCTTTTTCTATTCTTGTATCAGTGGACATTAGGATTGCTTCCATATCTTGGCTATTTTGAATAACGCTGCAATAAAAACAAAGGGCCTTGACAGGGAGCATTAAAGATGGCAGTGTGAGAAGTGAAAAAGAGGCTTCCTCTTAAAACCACATATAATATGAAAATATAATTAATATAATTACTCTTGAAAGAGCAATAGGAAAGAGGGCTGTGACAAACTGCATACACCTGGAGAAAAGAATAAACCTCATGGAACAGGGTAATGTACCAAAGCTGTGGCTCAGTGGGACCCAAGCCCTTCCCTCACCTCAGCTCACTGTGGGAGGAAGAGAAACGGAGCAGGGAGGGAGTGGAGGCCTGGGACTGCTGAATACCTAACTCCGGAGATCTGCTGTGGGAGCACAAACTTACATTTCATGGTGCTTTCATGGTACTTTTGTGATTAGGGGATTGAGAAGCTAAGACAGGCAGAATACCTGGAGAGACTAAGATTCCAGCCACTTGTAGAAAGTAGGGATCCATATCCAGTTGCTCTGGGACAAAAGAAAGGTGGCAGTCTGAGAGACTTCCTAACAGCAGAGGGCTACTAAAGGGGCAGGGATTGCACAGAGTTTACTTCTCAGGAGAAAGGACAGGTAGACAAAATTGTCTGAGTACGCTCTACCCAGCAGGTTGGGAACTTTCATGATCTTCAAGTGGAACTCTAAGAACCCCCTCTGTGATAGGAAGCCTACTCGCCATTCTCCCAGCCAGCCCCACCTGGCTTGCAAACCGGCAAACCCTACCCTGGCGTTAGGCCAGCCAGAGGGAAGCCCCGTCTATAGCAACTACAAATGTGAAGCATAGAGGCTATACCTGTGTGCTGGGCCCACTGGTTCTGGCAGTGGAGGAAGGCATAGAAGCCAGGAAACAGGAAACAGCTCTTTTCTCCCCCTAGGCCCCAATACCACTACCCCTGCAACCCTGACATTGCTTCAGGGACTGAGCAGCTCCAGAGAGTAGAGATTCTGGGAAGTAGAGGGCACCATATACAAATATGAAATGCCAAAGGAACCTGGTTCAAAATAAAATTATGAATGTAACACCTGAAAAAGATTCAAATGAAATTGACCTAATGAATCTTACTGAAAGGGATTTCAAAATAAAAATCATTAACATGCTCATGGAGGTACAGAAAAATATTCAAGAACTCAGGAATAAATTCTGGTCAGAAATCCAATTGTTGAAGAGCACAATGGAGGGTATTAAAAGCAGATTAGATATGGTGGAGGAGGTGATAAATGAAATAGGATTAGAGAAGAGGAAAACAAAGAAGCTGAGGCACAGAGAGAAAAAAGGATCTCTAAGAATGAAAGAATATTGAGAGAATTGTGTGACCAATCCAAGTGGAATCATATTTGCATTATAGGGGCACCAGAAGAGGAAGAGAGAGAAAAAGGGATATAAAGTGTCTTTGAGGAGGTAATTGCTGAAAACTTCCCCAATCTGGGGAAGGAGATAGTATCTCAGGTCATGGAGGTGCACAGATCTCCCAACACAAGGGACCCAAAGAAGACAACACCAAGACATATAGTAATTAAAATGGCAAAGATCAAGGATAAGGACAGACTATTAAAACCAGTCAGAAAGAGAAATAAGATCACATACAAAGGAAAGTCCATCAGACTATCATCAAACTTCTCAGCAGAAACCTTACAGGCCAGAAGGGAGTGGCATGATGTATTTAATGCAATGAAGCAGAAGGGCCTGGAACCAAGAATACTTTATCTGGCAAGATGATCATTTAAATTTGAAGGAAGGATTAAACAATTTCCAGATAAGCAAAAGCTGAGAGAATTTACCTCCCAGAATCTGTCTCTACACTGTATTTTGGAGGAACGGCTATAGATGGAAGTGTTCCTAAGGTTTAATAGCTGTCACCAGAGGTAATAAAACCACAGTGAAGAAAGAAGAACAGTTAATTACTAAGAAAATGAAAAATTAAATCAACTATATCCAAAGCCAATCAAGGGAAAGACAAAGAGTATAGAATATGATACCTAATATGTAAAGAATGTAGGTGGAAGAAAAAGGAGGAGAAAAAAAACGCTTTAGATTGTCTTTGTAATAGGATATTAAGTGAGTTAAGTTAGACTCTTAGATAGTAATGAAGTTAACCTTGAACTTTTGGTAACCATGAATCTAAAGCCTGCAATGGCAATAAGTACATACCTATTGATAATCACCCTAAATGTAAATGGTGGAATGCACCCATCAAAAGACATAGAATAACTGAATGGATAAAAAAGCAACACCCATCTATATGCTGCTTATAAGAGAGTTACTTTAAACCCAAAGACATACACCGACTAAAACTGAAGGGATGAAAAAAGATATTTCATGCAACTAATAGAGAGAAAAAAAGCAGGAATTGCAGTACTTGTATCAGAAAAAGTACAGTTCAAAACCAAAAAAGTCACAAGAGACAAAGAAGGACATTATATAATGATAAAGGGGTCTGTGCAACAAGAAGACATAACCATTATAGATATCTATGCACCCAACACAGGAGCACCTATATATGTGAAACAAATACTAACAGAATTAAAAGCATTCATTCTAGGAGACTTCAACACTCCTAGAAATTAAACTGTCTCTGTTTTCAGATGACATGATATTGTACATAATAAACCCTAAAGAATCCACTCCAAAACTACTACATCTAATATCTGAATTCAACGGTGTTGCAGTATACAAAATTAAAACACAGAAATCTGTTGCATTCCTATACACTAACAATGAACCAGCAAAAAAAATAAATCAGGAAAACAATTCCATCCACAATTGCACCAAGAAGAATAAAATACCTAGGAATAAACCTAACAAAGGATGTGAAAGACCTACACTCTGAAAACTACAAGACACTAAGGAGAGAAATTAAAGGAGACACTAATGAATGGACACACATCCTGTGCTCATGGAGAGGAAGAATTAATATGTCAAAATGGCCATCCTGCCTAAAGCAATCTACAGCTTCAGTGCAATTCCTATCAAAATACCAACAGCATTCTTCAATGAACCAGAGGAAATTGTTCTAAAATTCATATGGAACCACAAAAAACCCCAAAATACCAACAGCATTCTTCAATGAACCAGAGGAAATTGTTCTAAAATTCATATGGAACCACAAAAAACCCCATATAGCCAAAGCAATCCTGAGAAGGAAGAATAAAGCAGGGGGGATCATGCTTCCCAACTTTAAGCTCTACTACAAAGCTACAGTAATCAAGACAATTTGGTACTGGCACAAGAACAGATCCATAAACCAATGGAACAGACTGAAGAGCCCAGATATAAACTGAACCATATATGGTCAATTAATATACAATAAAGGAGCCATGGATATACAATGGGGAAATGACAGCCTCTTCAACAGCTGGTGTTGGCCAAACTGGACAGCTATGTGCAAGAGAATGAAACTGGATTATTGTTTAACCCCATACACAAAAGTAAACTCAAAATGGATGAAAGACCTGAATGTAAGTCATGAAACTATAAAACTCTTAGAAGAAAACATAAGCAAAAATCTCCTGAATATAAACATGAGCAACTTTGTCCTGAAAGCATCTCCTTGAGCAAGGGAAACAAATGCAAAAATGAACAAATGGGACTGCATTGCACTAAAAAGTGCCTGTATGGTAAAGGACACCATCAACAGAACAAAAAGGCATCCTACAGTATGGGAGAATACATTTGTAAATGACATATCTGACAAGGGGTTAACATTCAAAATATATAAAGAACTCACATGCCTCAACCCACAAAAGCAAATGACCTAATTAAAAATGGGCAGAGAATATAAAGAGACAGTTCTCCAAAGAAGAAATTCAGATGGCCAACAGACAAATGAAAAGATGCTCCACATCACTAATCATTGGGTAAATTCAAATTAAAACCACAGTGAGATATCACCTCACACCAGTAAGAATGGCCAGCATCGAAAAGACTAAGAACAACAAATGCTGGTGAGGATGTGGAGAAAGGGGGACCTTCCTACACTGCTGGTGGGAATGTAAGCTAGTTCAACCATTGTGGAAAGCAATATGAAGGTTCCTCAAAAATCTAAAAAGAAAAATATCATTTGACCCAGGAATCACACTCCTTGGAATATACCCAAAGAATACAACTTCTCAGACTCAAAAAGACATATGCACCCCTATGTTTATCACAGCACTATTTACAGTAGCCAAGAT